GTTGCTATTGTTGACAAAGTAGCATTTTTGTATATTTTTAAATTAACAAGTAACATTTTATGTTTTATCCTGTAGGACAGGATATTTTAAAGTACATGTGCATTGTGGAAAAGTTAAATCTAGCTAATTAACAAAATGCCTTACCTCACATAGTTATCAAGTGACAGCACCACAGAAAGTAACTTTTTTTTTATTCTAAGGGAAGAGAAAGTTTGTAGTTTTTGCTTGAATTAGTTACAGTATTAGGCAAAGATAATGCCTTTGTATTGGCCTGAACACTCACAAGCATAACCCTGCACATAATTCAGCACCACAACAGTTGTTTTCACTCTGAGAAAAATTAAGAGGAGGAGCCCAGAAAGAAATACTGGGAATTCGCTTCCTCCAGCGAGACCAGAATGACTCTGTGTACACGTGTTTCTTTTCGAAGATGCTTGACACCGAATGCAGATTGACTGCCACACACACCATCTGGTTCACAATGACAGGTGGAAAATAAAACGCCAGGGAGAAAAGTTAGAAGTAATGATGCGTATCACTGGAAACCAAAATAAAAGGAACAGGTAGTAAGGCTATGGGCGCTCACTGCAGGGAATGTGGCTGAGAACGCTTCTGTGGGACATGGCAGCCTGTATCTCATGTAGGGTTGTAATAATCCGTTCTCTTCTCTGTTGGAGGCTGAACTTTGGTACATGTTTAGTGGAGTTTAGTTTTGCCCTCCACCCACCTGTTCTAGAAGGCTTCCGCGTAGGAGTACTCTGTGCTCATAAGAGGGGAAATCGTTGTCCTAGACCAACTGTAGGAAAACACAGAAGTGAATGCTGAGTAGCTGTTCATTTTCCTACCCAACTTTTCTAGACAGTGATTCCCCTAATAAATGTTCACCTTTTTGCCAATAGATTCCTGGAGTATGGAACTGAGATCATTGGAAGATGCAGTACTAAAGTGCTTGTTGGGTTTCACACTTTGTTTTGCCAGCCTCACAGTGAGGTTTTAGAGCCTTAACCCTTTTCTTACACCTGAGGGTTGCAGAGCCGTGGGCAGTGAAACCCACATGGGTCTGCCCTGCTTCTGTCTTCTCTGTCTTCCTCCATCTGAGCCCTGGGTAGGCTTTCCAGGCTCCGGTTTGCTCTGCTTCTCACTGTTTCTTTCCTGGCCAGTCTTTCCCACCTCCTTTGTTTCTCAGAAACATTGTCTGTTGTCCCAGAGAGACATCTCCGGCCCCCACTCCCCTGCTCCCCTGCTCCCCTGCTCTGAGCCACCATCAGTCTCCCGGCCAGCCCTGGCCTGGGCCTGTGGGCCGCAGTGCAGTGTCTTCAAACTGAGGTCTGGAGTTCTAAAATGATTCTGTAAGAAGTACAAGGTAAATTGAGTACTAAAAATGTGTAACGATCCCCAATCTTAGCTTTTCCAACTGCTACATTCTATCAGGTACCCAAACAATGGGATGCCTCAATGTATGCTCCATTCCAGGAATAAATAGCACTTGTCCAGGCCCTTTCCACTATGCTACCTCCTAACAGACAGCTAGCCGTGTGGCAGGGTGGGCAAAAGTTGTTTTGTTTCCATTCTGCTTCTTTCCGTGAAACTTATCACTCAGTGAACGCAGTAAGGAGCATCTTTAAGAAAGCTGGTAGGTGTATATTAAAAGATGACAATGATTCTAAGAATGTAACAGGCTGTCATTCCAAAAATAGTGAAAGGATCGTGATCAGTATAAAATTTATTGTTCATCTATGCATTCGACCACTCAAGTGAGAGCATTTTGAAACGTGTGTGTGACAGTTCTGGAGGACATAGTGTCACTGCCAGCTGCTGACCCACCCAAACTGGCCCCAGGAGACGGAGGCGTTGAATGGGCAGGTTTACCTGTTTCCCACCTTACTCTCTCCCTAGCAGGCATCTCAGGTATTTCTCTAGTCCTCCCGAGTCATGCTACCACACTGCCTGGGGACACTGCCACCGGTCAGCACTGTGGGCCGGGCTCAGAGAGGCTGCTGCAGTGGACGCCACGGCATGGGCTCCTCGGAGCAGCCCCTGACGGCATGGCCATGGCAGTGGGGACCTTCCCTGCTGGAGCTCCCACCTGCCTTTCACCTGCCACAGAGAGAAAGAAACTTAGCTGGGCATCAGCTGAACATTCTCCAGAGTGTAGTTTCTCAGCAGTGAGGATTCACGGTACTTCGGATGGGAAAGCCGGCATGCAGTTGGTGGTGTCTTCATGTTAGGGTTTCTCCTTGGTTCTTTTGCATTTATGGGGACTCAGAGCTCAGCCATAACATGGCCCCACACACACGAACACAGGCACACACGCAATCCCACTGCCCCTAGCCCTGCTGTGAAGGGCAGAGGGCCCACTTTGAGTCTTCTCCTTCTCATCTGCTTCTAGTGAGAAGAGCGATTACACTGCACTAGAAAGCGTGGGGCACTGTGACTGAGAGAGGAGCTTGATTTAGAACATTCTTGATTTTCCTTAGCACAAGGAGGCCAAGAGGCCACAAGCCAGCTGTGCCCAGCTCCCTCCACCAGCGCTCTGGAGAACTGACACGTGATGCTTGAGGACTCAGGGTTTATGGAGCTTCAGACCTGGTGATAACAACAGAGGGGCTGGCAGGAATTGAGAAAATAGCAGGAGAGGACCGCAGCAGGCTCCTCTCTATGAGCAACAGTTAAGCCACCAGAGTGAAACACCAGCTTAGCCTCCTCCTCTGTATTTCAAGCATTTGTTTCTGTTTTAAAAGGAGAAATTGGGGCCGGGGATTTAGCTCAGTGGTTCGGTGGCCTGCCTTGCAAGCGCAAGGACCCGAGTTTGATCCCTGGTACCACACACACACAAAAAAAAAAAAAAAAAAAAAAGGAGAAATTGAGACAGGAACAGTGATTCCCACTGTGGAGATTGACTGGTACCCAAGAAAGGCAGCTTTAGAGACACTTGGACCTGAGTTCAAATTCCTCTCTCTGTTCCTTCCTTAGCTGTGAGGCCATGAGCCAACACTAAACCCCTGTAATATAAACAGGAAAGGTAATACAGAGTGCTTTTACGATTGAATAAAATGCACCTTACACTTGTAGGAAGGAAACGAGGTGCTACTTCCGTGGAACTGGAGCAGTATCCTCTCGCCTGCCTGTCTCCCCTCCTCCGCGTGGTATTTGCCAGCCTCCTGCCCTCCAAACTGCTCTTCGCCATCTGTTCCTGGTGCTTTTATCGGTCACTTCTGAGGAGCTGGGAAAGAGACTTGCTTCACTTTTTTCCCTTCTTTTCCTCAGTACTGGGATCAAGCCCAGAGACACTCTAGCACTGAGTTGTACCCTGGCCCTGTTTCCTTTTCAATTTTGTGGCAAGGTCTTCATACACGGCCCAGGCCAGCCTTGAGTGTGGATACTGCTGCCTTCGTCCTGAGTGGCTGGGACTCCAGGCCTGGGCCGCCACACCCAGACACCTTTGTGCCTTTTAACCAGACCAAAGACAAGCACCGAGCAGCACACATGTTCCAGAGCAGGATGTCAGCGAGTGTCCCAATACCTCAGCCTCCTCACTGCGGCCTACTGGCTATTATTTCCCCTCCCCATCCACAGAACTCATTTTCCAGAACAAGACCCCTGCAAAGACAATCTCTGGGTCCAAAGGAAATTTTCTCATCTCTTCATTCTGAAGCAGAGGTTGGATTCGAGTAAGGCTCCCTCTCTCATACTTCTCCAGTGTGGAGAACGTGACTAACCCTATATCCCCAAGTCAGCCACTAGAGACCCACGCACCTGACACTAGGACTGAGGAATGGTAATCTGTAGGTAATGCCCCCCTTTTTGTAAAAGATATCTATTGCTTCATCTATTGCTACAGCTATAGAACTGTATATTCTAATTAGAAAAGACCTAAATACTGTGTGTCATGGAACATAATCTATAGAGTTCCTCTCTCTCTCTCCCTCTCTCTCTCTCTCTACTCTTAAACTCCAAAACTTGCTCTAGAATTTGGCATTTAACAATTTTTCTTGGCCCTATTTCTTCAGGATTCCTATTTTCCCTGCATTTTAAGTGTGTGGCTCACTTGTTGAGATCAGTAACAGAGAAACAGAATTGTCTTTAAACTACTTTGATGGACAGATCTACTCATTTGCCCTGCATAAAGGGCAATCAGGACATCAGGAAAGCTCAAAAACAATTACAAGGACTCAGGCTGTGTGATTCAGCTACACTCTGATCCTTGTCTAATTTTAGTGGAGCCGGGTTAGGGAGGGGCACTCCCAATGTCCTTGGAGCCTCCATTAACATAAGAAATATTCCAAGCCTTGCCAGACAGCCTAAATGTTTTAGACCTGTGTTTCGTTCTTCTTGAAAGGAATTGTTCATGTTTCGTACTTTTTTTCTCTTTCAGTTTGAGTGTTTTCTCAACCTTGTTTTTTTAAGAACCATTAAAGAATTACTGTTTCACAATCCTCTTTTTAAAAAAGGAATTATGATTTCCATAGGTACCAATTTTGTTTGAAAATAATTGCTTTTATAATACAAGCTGGTCCTTTGAAAGTCGGATCCTTGGCCTATCTTCATATGAGGACATCAAGGGCCTGAGCCCAGGAATTTTGCATTTTAGCAAACTTCCAAAGGGGCATTTTGCACGTTAAAATGTATGAGCCACTAAATTATCAAGAGGCCCCGAGTATCTTTAATATTTAAACTCTGTTTTCTTAAGCACAGTGTCTTTCATTTTAAGCTGTGTAGGGCATTTATAATTTTTTAGAACATATTATCTGTTTCTGAGCCTATTTCATTATTTCACGTATTTTATCTGCTATGCCGGAGAGGTGGGAAATGAAGGAGCCATGGAGACCCTGACGTGGGGAGAGACGGTGGTGGGATCGCTCGCGGAAGCGTCGCGGCGCTGTGTGTTCTGTGGCCGCAGATCTGGGCCCAGCGGGGACTCAGCGAGGACATCGGCGGCACCGCCTCGCGCCTGTGGGGGAGCGGGACACTGGGCCCTTCAGCTGCCCTTATCTCCGCAGATCCGGAACGCGGGGTCCGCAGACAGCACGGTCCAGTTCATCTTCCACCAGCCCATCGTGCACCGCTGGAGGGAGACAGACTTCTTCCCGTGCTCGGCTACCTGCGGAGGAGGTAAGGATGTCCCGGGCATCCGCGGTCCTGAGAGTGGGGTGGTCAGCAGGAAGGTAACGGGGCCCTATCGGGGAAATTCCTCCCAAAGCTGCCCACCTGGAGTCCCCTGGGGGAAACACCCTGCTGCTCTTCTTGACCCCAAGGAGCCGATTCCTGACTTCCACTCCTTTCAGAAAAAGCTCTTCACCTGGCTGAGATGAAGCCAGTTCTCTGGAATCGAACGAAAGGTATTTGTCAGGCCTACACGGTGTGATGAAAAAGTACACTGACTTTTTAATTTAAACAGAAATATTACGGTAAACCACACAGTGCCATCAGCCCCTTCGTGATATCCCCGCTTACTTCTAACACGCGTGCCTTCCTTGTAGCACTTTCAGAAGCAGGGTGGATCCCTCCTTTGTATCTTTAGCTCTGCTCTTGTGGCTGCCTCAGAGTCCTGAGTCCATGCACAACACTGACCTTTCACGACTCTTTTGACTTCGGGGGAAGTCAGAACCCGTGGTGCGGGACGGTGCGGAGGATAGGCGGGACACACCGTGATTCTTCCACAAGCCTGCCTTTCCACTGGCTGGCGCTCGGCAGCCACAGTCTCTGCATTTTTGATCACAGCTGGTAAAAGCTCTATCAGAAAAGGACTTCCAGAACTGCTTCAAGAAAGGGCAAGATCGATAGGATAAGAGTGCCGCAGGCAAGAGGGAGTTTTCTGAGGGGGATTGATGGCAATGTGTATTTTACTGTGATTTTTTTTACTTTAAACTTTGCATGTATTTCAATCACACCTTATATTTAATTAGAAAAAACAGTTTATTACCAGAAGAAAGTCAGTACATTATAGACTTATAGTCAGATAATTTGGGGCTCCCCCATCATGTCTGCCTTGAAAAGAGTGTCATTTGTGTTACAGTCGCTGAAGTGCATCTCCCTAGAAAAGTCAGAGTGGATTTCTGTCTCCACCCCACCATATCTCTACAACAGACAGCACTCTGTGTTACTGGAAAAGTTTTTGTTTGGGGTTTTGGTTTTTTCCCATTTTGTGTTCTTCATAATTATAGTGATTATCTATAATAATTGCTGTGGATTGTTTTACAGTAATTTATTTTGCCATTTCCCTATAACAGATCATTTAGGTCATTTAAACCCTTCTACTATTATAACGTAATGAATAACCAATACCCAAGTATTTTTCTCCTTTCACGTGATTTCTTTGGGATAGATACTCAGCAGTGAGGTTACTAGATAAATAAGTTTCAGAACTTTTGTGGTTACTGTATGACCAAATTCCTTCTGGAAGATAACAAGCAGTGTATGAGTACTTTAGATTCTTTGCCAACTTTTGTGGATTTTTTTAAGTTTTCATGATGATAAAATTCTGGTTATATTCCTTTGAAAATTAACGGATTGAATAAGTTCTAGCTCTAGCCTCATGGAAGCCTGTTAATTGACCACTTTTAAACTGTTCATCCATATAAGTACTACTAAATTAATTTTGACAGAAGATAAGAGGATAATATCTCAAAACAGAGGCAGCTGGTCACCCATTAATTACTGTAAAACAGGGCGACTATCATGATATAATTCACCTTACCCGTGTTATCTTTGTCTATATAGTGTGATTGATCAAATGACTAGAAATTTGGTTCTCTAGGGCAACACGGGATTTTGCTCGAAAAACAGAGTCCAATGCCATCAAGCGCTTTTGCTCCGGTGTTAACCATTAATTCAACCTTTCGGGCTCTTCCAGTAGATCAACATTTCTAGTTGTTGTCTGAACAGAAAATCACTCTGTTTGAAACTAAGCTGCCATTACTTGGATGTTCTGTGGGATTACATTTTGATACATCTACTACTGACTAGCAGGGACAACAGTTTAAAAGAATAAAATCACTTCTTTGTAGCTTTTCTTTTTAAACAAAAACCATGCTTGGTGAGAAACAACAACTCAGCTATTTGTGCACTGCACAAGTTTCGCGTAGAGCTGCCGCGGGGCATAAGTTCAGTAGTCTTGACAACAGTTTACCACCTCGGAAGGTGATCAGGGTTAGACGCATATGCATCCCCTGAGACCTCATTCTCCTCCCATCTACACCATGAAGTGGAACTGTGAGTGGTCTTCAGAAGTCTTCGGGTGGCGTTGCCCAATAACAAAGGGATTGCAGAGGAGGTTTTCCTAGGAAGATAAGACGAAGAAAAGCTGTTCTCATGAAGATGTAAGAGTGTGGGGCCCAGTATCCCCGCTTCACCAGTTTGAAATTACTCAAGAAGTGTCCTCCAAGTTCTCTCTTCTGCTATGCATTCCAGATTCAGCTGCTTGGCCGTTCGGCGCAGTGTAAAATTGCTATTCCAAAATGCCTTGAGAAACTTCCAAAACTATGGTTCTCTAATCATTTTGGTCATTTGCTTCATTTTCATTCTAACTCTTCAGTTTGTGTTCTCCGAAATGGCTTCAAAAGAATGCGATTAGGCTGGCAAATTCTAATTCTGAAAAATTATGACCTCAGATTCATACTTTATGGCTTATGTCCAGGAATATAAATTATTATTTGAAAATTTATAATAGGTTTAGCTTATCATAAAATTAGCTGCTATGGAGTACAGTGGATTTTATACAGAAAAATATATTTTCTTATCTAAAATACCATTTTGAGATTTGGTTTTCTTGTGAAGCAGAAAAGTTAAATGGAGTAGGTGTTTTCACCCTTTGCTTTTGTTACTTTCCGTGCTTTTCATCTTTTCAGTAGAATTTTAAGAGGTCTTTTTGTAGGTCTTTAATGAACAGTTAATTTTTGTGGGTGGTCTAGGAGCACTGCCTCAAGTCAGGAAATCTGGCTATAAAGCCTCCTTCTGATTTCCTAAAAAGTTTTGCAAGTCCCTTAACAGTTTAAATCTTGCTTCCTAATACATACTTAGCAATCACAGCGTTCAACCACCTGCCAGAGAGAATATATTTGTAGGATTGGTTAGGGTTGGAATAATACAATTTTTGAATTCTCCATGTACATTTATTTTTTCATCCCAGGAATCTAAGTCTTGATCACCACCCTACCAGAAATAGACAGGATATAAAAAATCAGATAGGAAAGATAAACATGGTATGACTAACAGCAGTTATTACTGAACTTTTCTTTTAAAAGAGGCTTCTCTGAATTCGAAATTTGTAGATAGAGCCTGAGAAATATGGGCTACTTAATTTCAAGAGATATGCTAAAAGATTTTAGAGAAAGCAAAAATTAAACAGTGGAGAAGATCTTTTTGTTGTGTTGTTTCTAAGTTCTACAAGGAAACAGGATTCATGATGGCTACTATTAGAATCTTGATTGCCCATTTATTCAGCTCAAGTAATTTAGTTTGAATTTAGGCAGAAGTTGTATTCTCTGGCAGCAGGCAGAACCCGATCCTGTGTTGTATTCCCTTGGCCCCCATTGGCCCAGGAGGAGAATGCTGTGTTAGTCAGTCAGTCAGTTAGTTCGTTGAGAGCTTATTCTTCCTCATAGCATAGGTGCTAAGAAGGCAATTAAGCATCCTTGGATAAGATACTTGGTTAAATAAATACTTACAGTCTTTTCTGCACACATTATTCTATGTTATATTTTTACATTATACAAAAGAAGTAAAAACAGTAGTTCTTACCCCACAGTCTTATAATCTGACCATGCTCTCCTATAACTGAAGCCCTCTAGTAGATATAATGAGAGTCTGAGGCAGGAGGATCGTTGTGAGTTTGAGACCAGCCTGGGCTACATAGCGAGTTCCAGGGCAGTCTCAACTATGTAGTGAGACCCTTTCTCAAAAAATCCAAAAAAATAAAAATAAATAAATAAATGAGTGAATTACTTAAGAAAAACACAGTTATCTAAAGCCTGAAGAAACTAACAGCCTTCCAATTATATATTTTTGTACTGAAAATGACTGGGGCGTTGGGGCATAGTTTCCACTGATAAGAGATGGCCCAAAGCATCCCAAACTCTATGCGTGGCATGTGCCTCTCAATCTCCCTGGTCGGCTTGATGTTGTAGGCTACCAGCTGACTTCCGCCGAGTGCCATGACCTCCGGAGCAGCAGGGTGGTGGCCGACCAGTACTGTCACTATTACCCGGAGAACGTCAAGCCCAAACCCAGGCTTCAGGAGTGCAACTTGGATCCTTGCCCGGCCAGGTCAGTCAGATTTACGATTCCTTTGTCGTAAACACGAATAAGGCTCCACATAAGCATCTGGAGTTTAAATGTGTGTAAATTTAGAATACAGTGGCAGGCGTTGCTGTCAGTGTCCATTCCTGGTTGCACATCCCAGGCCCTGGGGCACTCAGTCTGGCTGCTCTGCGGTGCTGCTCAGTGCCCATGGACGTTGCTTCTGTGAGAGGCAAGCAAAGCGCTCTTCAGAGTCGCACTGCCTTCTGATTTCTTCACATTCTGATTCCTAGTTTGTCTCCTTTGGATACTACAGGCTACGGCTGCCCAGTTTTCGTGCGGGTCGATGGCCTTATGCTCTCAGGAGTCCTTCTGCTTTTTCTCTGTCCCCAGCCGGGCACAGTCACAGCAGACTCTGTATCAGGGTCCCACCTGATCGACACGATCCATTAGATCAGAACCAGCCTTACAACCGCTCTGTGACCCTCGAGCCACCTCAGCCTTTGCAGGACTTGCTTCCAAGGTCAGGCCTTTGGGAAGTCTTTTTAATTAGAAGCTTTAGAAATGCAAACGCTGGACACTTTCATACATATCGCTTGCCTTTGGGAAACCATAGGTGACTCTCAGATAATCTGCAGGATCGAGAATAAAGCTGACCATTGAAAGCCCTAGGTAACGAGTGGCGGGAGCGCAGGTCAAGCCCTTTCCGAGGGTGGGATGCTCGCCTGAACCCCGCAGCTCTCCGCACAGATGCTGCTCAACCATCCCAAACCAGCAAGGGTATAAGACAGTTCTTCCCCCACAGGGTAATTGTGGACACCAAAAGATAAAGGACCCTTCTCCAAACTTGCTGGATTGCTGAGCAACACTTTGATGCTTTTTTAAAGTTAGAGTCTGCCAGTCATATATAGATATAAAGCTCTGAATAATTAAAATACTACAATGTGGGCAACATAGATGCAAAGCATTCTATCTTTACATTGTAAGCGATGCAGTTTATGTTTTCACTTTTTGCTTTTAACTTTTTGAGGTTCATGTCCTTGTACTCTTTGTACCTTATATTCATGAATTCTAAACTTGACATGGGACAGGAAATTGCTGTTAGTAACTAACCTACAGAAACCATACAACTTGCCTCCTAAAAGTGCACTCATCAAAGGAACAGAAGGAATACATATGGCATAATTGTAAAATTTAGGTGAAGCTTGACTAAGGTTTATATCACACCAGAATGTTATATATTAAAAGGTAGATATGATCTGAAAACTAATTAAAGCGTTAAAATTTGCTTGCATTTCTTTAATTTGGAAAAAGTAAGCATTTGAAATATTTTAGCTATTTCAATTATAATCCATGCAATTTAACACTTTTTAAAAATATTCTGGTTTTACATTTTTCTCCATACCTATGACAGGAAGATCAGAGTGTGAGAAATATATGTGTCTCGATTCAGATGTTCCGCCTGGCCATCGGCTTAGACGGTCTTATAACACGTTCCCATGGCAGTTTGAAGGTGCAAGGGCCTGTCCTGCACACCATAAAGCTTCTCCCACTGGGAAAGAACTTTAATGAAAAAAGCAGCTATGGAGGACAGCTGTGGAATAAAAGTTTGTTAACAATTGAAGAAAACATTCATAATCAGAGAAAAATTCTTTTGGCCTCTGAATTTTTACTTCTCTGTAGGAGAACATCTTTGGCCCATTTCTTATCTAGAAGAAAGGGTTACATGGAAAGAAGGCTGCCTGTCCAATTTATGTTTTCTCCGTGCCATGTGTTACTTTAAAAACTCTAATACAGCACACAAATAAATGTTAGGACAGGTGGCTCTTTAAACAAGCAAAGTGAGGAAAGGAAAAATAAAAAATGAGTTGGAAGCAAATGTCAGGAAGCTGGTTTTTTTACTGAAGAAGTAATTAAACAGAGCTGTAAAAATTAAGACTGAACGGTAGTGAAGCTGGAAGGCGAGCTCCTATAGGAGACGTAGCTGTGCTGTTTTGGGGCTGACCCTTCCGGATTGGCTGTGAAGTTCTCTGAGCTCTTTAATGTGTCTAGGATCAAAGCCCCTTTCCAACTTTCAGGACCAGAGGAGCAGGATGACCTAGAAGAGCAGGTGGAAGAGACTGTAAGATAGACCTTCCTCTCCATCAGACATAGCAGAATTAAATCCTCAAGGGACTCTTCTCTGCCAACAGATTTAATTCTCAAATTTTCTATCCAAAATTGGAAACTACCAAAAAGTGAAACATAGCCTTTCCTAGTACAAAGTTCAAAAATATCTAACCATTGAGATATATATTCTTTTTTTTTCCTGTACACACTGGCATTTTGGGCCTATTACAGTTCTGAGAAGTAAAATCCTATTCAGATAGCCACAGTTATTTCCTTCCAAGGAAGAAAATGGCACAAGCAGCAAACATGGCACTAAAATTAAGGCTACAACTTTAGTTTTAGTGCTTGATCTTAGTTCTCTCATTCATAAAATGAGAGGAGAGGGTTATTGATTGCATTAAATTATTTAATTCAAACTGTGCCAAAGGAATCTATTGTTTCCTTCCATTTCAATTTATGTATTTTAAATTATTTTTGAATAATAATTCACAAAAGATGCATTTGAACATTTTTTTGGTTTTTTTTTGTTTGTTTGTTTGTTTTTGTTTTTGAGACAGGGTCTAACTATGTAGTTGAAACTGACCTGGACCTCTTTAGGTAGCCCAGGCTGGTCTTGAACTCACAGGGATCCTCTTGCCTCAGCCTCCTGAGTTCTGGGATTACAGGTGTGCGCCACCACACCTGGCTACCATTTGAACAATTTTAACTGATTCAAGCTGAGTGAAGCTGTACAAATCTGTTTTAACAGTTGTAAAAATGTGTACCAGCAAAGTAATACTTTTTGTCCTCATCAAGCTCTCCCATTATTGCTGCTTAGTTGGAAGAGTGAGCATCCCAAGATTGCAAAGGCAACTGTAAAATGGTTACCATGAACAACTACTCTGGTGATAAAAAGAATGTTCTCCTTACTATACATTTAAAACCAGAGCAAGCAAAAGCAAACTAGACATGACCAGTGGTAGACGTAATCCCTGATGGGCTGTGGAAAAAGCACTTTGGTGTTTAGCAAAATATCTTCACTGTCCTCATTATTTTGCCTTACAGTAAGTGAAGTTACACATTTGAACCAATTGTCTAAAATCTTATTAGTAAATGTTCTTCTCAGGTTTATCCACTATGTGCTTATACACGGTGTAAAGCCTTTCAAAGACTAACGTGTCTAGGGCTATAACCTGCTGCTTTTTCTTTTGTCCGTAACCCCTTCCAACCTCAGACCCAGTGACGGTCGTATCGGTCGATGCTTTGGTTTTCAGAAGCGCACAAGCTTCCTGAGCGCATGCACTGCTCACCGGTGGGAACTGTCTGAAATCAGTGCAGACCTGTGGCGGCCTAGATCAGCAGGCGTGCAGCCTCTCAGCACCGCCTCACTCCCTACCGGCTGTCCGGATTCGGGGTCTCACTCTCTCTTCCTTTCCTTCCTTCTTTGCTTTTCCACTGCATTTTACTTCTCTTTTTCTCCTTCTTAGTTGTCTCCCCTTTCTTTTTTTTTTTTTTTTTTTTTTTTGTACCGGGGATCGAACTCAGGTCCTTGCGCTTGCGAGGCAGGCCACCGAACCGCTGAGCTACATCCCCGGCCCTGTCTCGCCTTTCTTACCCTCACCCAGCACAGCCACTGGCTTCCGTGGTTATGGATTAATCACACGATGGTTCTTGATGCTAATGAGATTGTTGAAATCTTTCAAAATAATTTTTATTTTTTCATGGCTTTTTTCTGATTCTAAATGCTCACTCAGAAATGTCAATAGGTTAAAAGGCGATAATGAAAACAATCCAACTCACTAAGAATCCCCAGTGCCCACAGATGCCAGTGCTCGTGTGTTTGCTGTGCTTCTCTTCTCTCGTCTCCAGCTGCGATGTAGATGAGGTCATGCTCCACGAGGAGGCACCTAGACTCCAAGGACGTAGCATTGCTTGTTTCGCCTCGGAATGTCCGGAACCGGTGGTGCCTGTCCTTCTGGCTGTGGCAGCTTTAAGTCGGTGGCCTTGTAAGCCCAGAAACCGAACCACGCTGAGCGCCCAGATGTCTCATCCCAAGACAGTGCTGTTGCTTTCCGTGTCATTAATGCAGTCATTTTTATGAAGTGCTAAAATACTTAGTTTCCTAGATAGTTTTCCTGTCTCAAAAAGGGGTCCAACACTTAAGGCTTGTAAGAGAAGTAAAAGGAAAGGGCAACGTACAGATGTGATGACTTTTAGCTGAAACAGATAATGGTCTTCATTGGCAGCTAGGAGCTGCAGCACCCCTGTATCCTCCACGCTGTGTGCGCAGGGCTTTGTGTGTCCTGGTGTGGCACTGACTGGGCCATTCCCAGAGGATCAGAGACACGCCACTGCACATGCCAGGCACCTGCTGCATGACTGTACTTTCAGTGCTGTGTTCTGAGTCCTTTCCTGTGTCACTAAGCACTGGGGATCCACTAAAATACAAAGTGATCTCCTGTGCCTGCCACCCTTCAGGAGTAGCTTCTACCTTACACTCTGGGAAGCTTTTCTGAAATTTATGTGGTGTCTGTGCCTTTTCATCTCTGAGGTGAAAAGTCCATCGCGTGAATAGCTATAGCTCAGCAGCAACTGAAAAAATATCATTTTAATTTAGCTGCTAAGCACCTTGTGCTATCGGAGCAGATTCAAATGTAAAACCTGCAGCCTTTGGCCTTAGATATCTTGGTCTGTGAGGTGGATTGGGCTGTGCAAGTCACTTTTTGTGAGAAGGTCAGAGAATCACCTTTCCATTTGTTTTCCCTCCCAGGCAGTAATGACTGGGCTTGAACTGGTGAAGTGTGGACAAGGACTCACTTGCTGCCGTGGTCACGATCATTAGCAAACAGATCTGTTCCTAGCTGAACCTGCATCCAGGTTTCCCCTTCCCTGAAGGAATTCAGAGCAATAGTCCTAAGCAAATGCCCAAACTTGTCTGT